CAATGCCCGGCTATTTTTTGGTTGCAGCTGTCGTCGTTTTTTGGCAGGCCCGGGCTGGATTCGAACCCACTACCTTAGGTGTATATGGCTGGTACCTTAGCCACTTCAGCCACAGGCGCCCAGCCTGAACAACAATTTTTAATTCAACTTGTTAATATGTTGTTTAGGATATTGCATCCTCATTTGTAAGTGAAGTATGTTTGTAATTTCCTTTATAATGATTTTTTTTTTCAATTTTAATGTTAGATATAGCCAATGAATTTGAAGTATTCTTTTTCTGTTGTCTGTAAGATTTGGCATGATCTATTTTTTCTTAATTATTTTCTATTTTTATTTATAAATATTAGTTGTTAGGTGGCGCCTCTGGCTCAGTGGGTAGGGCACCGGCCCCATATACCGAGGGTGGCGGGTTTGAACCTGGCTCGGGCCAAATTGCAACAAAAAAATAGCCGGTGTTGTCGCAGGCACCTATAGTCTCAGCTACTCGGGAGGCTGAGGCAAGAGAATCGCCTACGCCCAGGAGTTGGAGGTTGCTGTGAGCTGTAATGTCACAGCACTCGACCCAGGGCAACAGCTGCTTTGCAGTGCATTGGGGAAAGCTGTTCATGGGAGGTGCCTCACAGGAGGCACTCTGCTGTAAAGCTGTCCAGGGGAGGAAAGAGTGCCAGATAAAGCTCCTGGTGCTGGTACTCCGGCTGTTGTGTGGGAGCCACATGCCTGGCACCTACGAGCTTGATGCTGGAGAAAGCACACATGTTGCTTCCAGTGAGCTTAACTGGAACCAGGAAGCAAATCCCTTTTTCCAGTGTCCCTCCAATACTCTGTTCTGAAGAAGCCTCTGTGCCAGCTGGCAAGGGAAATCTAAGAGACCCAGATCCATTTTCACAGAGCAGGCTAAAAGGGTGAATTTGGAGCTGAGAAATGGTAAATTGGTAACTGGCACAGTCTACCCTTTGAGGACTCAGCTTCCATACTCAGCTGGCCCTGTTTGTCCATGGGTTCCCTGTTGTGGATTCAACCAACTGCGGATTGAAAATATTAGAAAAACACTTTTATCTGCATTCCCTAAACAATACAGTATAACAACCATTTACATAGCAGTTACATTGTATTACTATAAATAATCTGGAGCTGATTTAAAGTGTACAGGAGGATGTACATAGGTTATGTGAAAATAGCACATCATTTTACATAAGGGATTTGAACATCTGAGGATGTTCATACATGCTGGAGGCCCTAGAACCAGTCTCTTATGGACACTGAGGGATGACTGTACACTCCTTGACATGCATTTGAACTCTCATACAACAACAAAGAGAATAATTCTGTATTTTTGCCTAATAATAAACAGCCACCCTATTTACAAATGAACAAAATTTCACCCTTTCTTTAACATGAGGTGTAGTCTCTGCCTGTAGTCCCAGCTACTTGGGAGGCTGAGGCAAGAGAATCACGTAAGCCCAAGAGTTAGAGGTTACTGTGAACTGTGACTCCATGGCACGCTACTGAGGGCAACATAATGGGACTCTGTCTCAAAAGAAAAAAAAAAATGAGGTGCAGTCTAAAAAGTCAAATCCATTACTGGCTATATAAATTTTTTTTTTTTGGAGGCAGTCTTACTTGGTCACCCTCAGTAGAGTGCTGTAATGTCACAGCTCACAGCAACCTCTAAATCTAGGGCTCAAGTGATCCTTTGCCTCAGCCTCCCAAATAGGACTACAGGCAGCTGACACAACGCCCAGCTATTTTTAGAGACAGGGTCTCTTGCTCAGGCTAGTCTCGAACTCATGAGCTCCGGCAATCCACCCACCTTGGTCCTCCAGAGTGCTGGCTATATAAATTACTTCTCAAATCCAGTCACTATGCTGAATATACTGTTATTTAAAGACTAAGTTGTAAAGTTAACTTCCAGCAACTTGTATACAAAATAAAAATGGGAAGCAGAGAGAAAAATGGTTAGCATATATACAAATCATGATGGGTGTATAACAAGCAAATAGAAAATAGCAAAACTATCCCAGTCCTCATTTTGGTAATTGGTCACAAGGCTGCAACTAATTTCTATGCTTCCTCTTTTCTATTTACCCATTCCATATTTCTTCTGCCCTCAGTCTGAACCTCAGCTAGTCAGGATTTACCTGGTATAGTGACCCAAACCTTTATTCCTTAAGAGCCTAACCCCTTACTCTTCCTGCCTGGTTTTGTGTGTGGGGGGAGGGAGTTGTAGTAGTTTTCTGTTACTATTAGAATTGTCTCCATTACAATTTCCTCTTGTAATCAGAATCAGTCACTCTGACAAGCAAATTACCCCACATCTACCTCCCCCTGCTCCTAGCCTGTTGGTTCCGTAGCATAAGGAGCCCCAGATGTCCAGGTGTTTCATCTTCCATTTTAGTGGAGCCATTGTGTCCTCTAGCAGAACCATTCCTCTCTTAGAATCAAAATTTCCAAACCAGCAGAGCTCAAAGTTGCTGGAACAGGAAGGAGGAATTCTGTAAGAAGGTGATTGGGTTGTAATAGAGGAATTACTCTGATATCCATCCATTTCCAGAGACAGCAACGTATCATGCTTTGATTGAAAGCATATAC